GGTGAAAAGAAAGTTATCTGTAAATCTTCATTTGTATCAGGTGTTTGTAGCTTTAAAATAAATGTTGCAGGTATGGCATTAATGCTTGTAAGAGTTCAGAAATGGTCACTGCTTAGGTGCCTCTGATGAGTTGGGTGTCTGCCGTACGGACGTTAATCATCTCGGGTTAACACCAAAAGTACAGTAGTTATAATGTTTAAGTAAGCAATAACATATACTGTATATTATTCTGGAGTTGGGTCAGGTATTACTGGAGACAGGACACATACTGTAGAGCCTACTGGAGACAGGACACATACTGTAGAGCCTACTAGAGACAGGACATAGAGCCTACTGGAGACAGGACACATACTGTAGAGCCTACTAGAGACAGGACATAGAGCCTACTGGAGACAGGACATAGAGCCTACTGGAGACAGGAGGCTGATTGTTTAACCAATTTTTCAGACAAAAAACTGTCTTATATGACATTAAATACAGTAAGTTACAAATACAGCCTCTGGTTTGATAGTACGTAACAGAGTACGAATTTAAGTTAACCCCCTTGAGTACAACCCCGTAACAATGTCATGAGTTTCCCGCCACCTGGAAGTTCCCGCCAATAGTATGAAGACCTTAGGCCTGTCTTCGACCAATGAGAGAGCCTACGAGGCACGACGTCACGAAAGCTGCGGTCCCCCTCGTGGTCCGACGCAGTTTGAAAAGCAGAGTGTGTGTTTGGTCGGTGAAGTGTGTCACCCACTCACCCGGCGGGCTATAACGCGAGTATCTATTAGGTCAATCAGTTTCACTAAATGTATCGTGATTCACGTGACCCCCGGGTAGCTAGCTCGCAAGATTGTTTCTTAACCGTTGAGTAACGTCGTAATGAGGAACCAATAGTTGTCAGTTCCCTCGTTATACAGGGAGTCATAAATAATAAGTATTTCATATTTTCTCCTCTGTTGTTCCCCTGACCAGCCTCTCCTTGTAGGGGGCACTATACCCCAAACAAACAAATACCTTCCTTATCTCACAAGTATAACAAACACAGAGGAAAAGAGAATTGGATAATAAAGATAAAGTGGAAGAAGTAAAAATAAATAAATGAATAAATGAAAAGAATTAAAAATGACAATACAGTACAGCTGCTACGACGGGGTTAGGGACCGATATCCAGGTCGTAAGTCGAAATGCTTAAATAATACATAGAAAATAAAAAATGGGTGTCTCTTTTTCTTCTCAGCACCACAAAACTCTCACTTTTAAGCTTGCCAGCCATTTGAAAGTGAATTACAGATGAAAATTTTGTCTGTGTACCGATTTTGGGACTCGAAAATACGTAATTTGACCAAATTTTGGTATGACCGAGGCGGGTCGTAAGTGCGGGTGGTCGTAAGTCAAGTAGGTCGTAAGTCGGGGAGGAGCTGTATAAGAGAAAATTGGTACAAAAATATGTTACACTACTGTATATACAGGGACATTAAAATTTGTTACAACCCAATAAAATGTCTCAGTTGTAACTTAAAGAGTACAGACTGCATGCCCCTACCATGACAAGAGTACAGACTGTATGCCCCTACCATGACAAGAGTACAGACTGTATGCCCCTACCATGACAGGAGTACGTTTAATGGTGTATACGAGAGCACCCCCTGAGTACCACACAATAAATCCCACATTTTATGGTATATTAAGAGTACAACATTTAAATCAACTGTGCTGTGCATCACACAATGTTTATAAAGGTACATCATTAAGGTCAACAGACAGACACAATAAATGTCTTTTATCATAAACCACAAGATAACATTTCAACCACAATTATCAGCCAATCAGATCAATGGATTATGAGCTGTACCTCCGAGCACCAGCCAATCAAATCGTTGGACTCGGCTGCACCTCCGAACACTAGCCAATCAAATCACTGGACTGAGCTGTACCTCCGAACACTAGCCAATTAAATCGCTGGACTCAGCTGTACCTCCGAACACTAGCCAATCAAATCGCTGGACTGAGCTGTACCTCCAAACACTAGCCAATCAAATCACTGGACTGAGCTGTACCTCCAAACACTAGCCAATCAAATCGCTGGACTGAGCTGTACCTCTGAACACTATGTTTATGTTTAAAACTTTCCCCAAATACAGTAGTTTATGTTAAAACTTTCCCCAAATACAGTAGTTTATAATTACATATAACTACACACAGAGGATAACTCAAACTTCACTTTAAAAAAATATATTTAAGAATCTCTGGACGAATGTAACCCCCCCAAATAGTTGTCAGGAAATATTTTAAACTTTTCCCAAAAATATAAAGTCAAGTTGGGGACTTTTTTTAGTCTTATACTTTGACTAATGAGCAACACACAAACATCCTCATGTCTCAAATTAATGAACAAAAAAAAGTATATATAAATCAAAAAAAGTTATATGTAAAACCTTTTGATAATTAACCCTGAGAGCTATGAAGTAATCACGTGTATATCGCGTCCACACTGGGGAAAAACATGGATAAAACGCGTACAATACCGAGAGACCATCTTTGTGTCGTAGGTTAAAAGGGTCGGTAAATATATTAATATTTCTAATGATGAAAAACTTTACACAAATACGTACCTTTGAGAATCCACCTTTGTATTGTAGGCCATTATAATACAGTTTAATACAGTACTGTATCTCAAAAGACTACAAATACAACACTACTGTATTGTATGAACCTTTAAGAATCCACCTTTGTATTGTAGGTTTAATTCAGCCAAGTTTTAAGACACATTCGTTTGTTTCAAATTAAGAAAAGATCCAATTTACAAATCTTTGTCAATGGGTACAGTAAATACAGTAATTTCAACTTAAATCTAACTACAGTATTAAATTCCTGCTGTATCCCTCAACACTGATACATCATACTGTAACCTACTGTAGAAAATAAAATACAGGATTACAAAACCGATGTACATTTCAAACTATAACCTGCAGTCTGAAATATACAGCGCATTTGTATCCTGCGGTGTGTTACAGTATTTTGTATCATGTGGTAATACAGTAACCAAAATACAGTAGTGGAGTTAGTTATAATGACACAGAGAACAATAGTTTGTACTGATTTAGTGAACAATTGTACCATAAATGTTCATTGTATGGGACATCTTTTGATAACCACACACTCCACCACACCCCAACACACTCCACCACACCCCAACACACTCCACCACACCCCAACACACACACACACACCACCAATGGGCAATACCTATCCCTGTGTCATCACCCACCAACACACTACAGCTACACACTTAACACTACAGTAGCTACACACTTAACACTACAGTAGCTACACACTTAACACTACAGTAGCTACACACTTAACACTACAGTAGCTTCACACTTAACACTACAGTAGCTTCACCAACATTACTTAAAACACTTGCAGACAGGAGTCTTCATCACCTCTGGGTACACTTGGCCAAAACTCTCGTCATTAATTGTATAAAATAACTTTTTACAATTTCTGGAGAAGTTTGAGAATATTTTATTTACTCGCGACTTGAAAAAGTGTAATATTTAATCACCTCAACATTACACTCACCCGTTTATTTAACCAGGAGATTAACTAACCTTTACTAATACTGTACTGTACGCTGTTCAGTTCTGGTCACCGTATTACAGAATGGATATTAGAATCCTTACAAAGAATTCAGAGGAGAATGACAAGACTAATCCCGGGCATTAGGAACCTCGAGTACAGAGACAGGTTAAAGCATCTTAATTTGCATTCCCTCGAGAGACGTAGAGTGAGGGGCGATATGATAGAGGTGTATAAGTGGAAGTCAGGGTTAAACAAAGGGGACATTACAAAGGTACTCAAACTATCCAACCAGGAGCGAACTCGTAACAATGATTTTAAATTAGACAAATTTAGATTTGGGTGCCAAATAGGTAAACACTGATTTGGAAACAGAGTAGTGGATAAATGGAACAAGTTACCAAATATCATCATTAACTCGAATACGCTGAATAGCTTCAAACAGGTTGGATGCTTATATGAGCAATAGGGGTTGGGTGTAAACGGGACTGGCCAGTATGGACCAATAGGCCCGCCTCCATTGTTATGTTACTTCACCTCACCTAACATAAGCCCTCTAGTGATCATTCAACCAACTTCCTCTCAGCAGTACAGTATGTCACACTGACAGTACTCCTCCCAACAGGTGTACTGGCACCAGCTGGCAGGTACACCTGGACTGATCTACTCAATGTTTAATAGGGTGTTATAACTCTCCCTGTTACCAACACACACGGTGCTGTATGTGACCATCAGGTAGTCGAGTCTCATGGTAATTTTTAAAGCAAATTTAAAAGTAAATTCCCAGTTAGATGTGAATAATTTATACTTGTCATACACAAATTATACCTTAAAGTATGATGATTTAACCTTTTGAGTATGATGACTTAACCCTTCAAGTATAATGACTCAATATTTGACTGTACAGGAGTTTCTCAACTGACAGAGGTTACAGGAGGTTCTCAACTGACAGAGGTTACAGGAGGTTCTCAACTGACAGAGGTTACAGGAGGTTCTCAACTGACAGAGGTTCAACTTTACATTATTCTATTTACCTGTTGACATATTTTTTACTTTAATTTACTGTATTTTGTCAATATATTTGTTGTTAAGTTATTTTAGAAGTAAATAAGTTATGATATAGAGGTATTTTAAACATTGTTCTGTACACAGCTTTTGTTTAGACTAGTGTACAAATGTGTCTTAAGAACGTCCTCAAGAGCTGAACCTGTGATGACTTAACCTCTTGAGTATAATGCTATTGTACTCAGGGTTAAGTCATCATACTCAGGGTTAAGTCATCATACTCAGGGTTAAGTCATCATATTGAAGGGCTTAGACAATTCACATCTCAACTACCCGTGGTCACATAGACGAGGACTTGAAGCTAACGACCCAGAGGCGACGAACGAGCTCCAACTCTGCCGATAAAAGCCGCGGGGGTTAAAACTCACCGATTGGTTGGCGAGAGTCGACGCTCCCTCGGGGGCCACGTCCCCCAAGAGGTGAGTGGGGTACATGCTGCCTCCAACACCACCACCACGATTACCATCATCACCACCCATGTCTGTAGTGCCCTCACGACCCTGTACAAGAGGAGGGTCAGTGTTATGAAGGAAGAGTTATTATTACTACCTAACATACACCTGGCTCCCCTCACTACCCTGTACAAGAGGAGGGTCAGTGTTATGAAGGAAGAGTTATTATTACTACCTAACATACACCTGGCTCCCTTCACTACCCTGTACAAGAGGAGGGTCAGTGTTATGAAGGAAGAGTTATTATTACTACCTAACATACACCTGGCTCCCCTCACTACCCTGTACAAGAGGAGGGTCAGTGTTATGAAGGAAGAGTTATTATTACTACCTAACATACACCTGGCTCCCTTCACTACCCTGTACAAGAGGAGGGTCAGTGTTATGAAGGAAGAGTTATTATTACTACCTAACATACACCTGGCTCCCTTCACTACCCTGTACAAGAGGAGGGTCAGTGTTATGAAGGAAGAGTTATTATTACTACCTAACATACACCTGGCTCCCTTCACTACCCTGTACAAGAGGAGGTCAGTGTTATGAAGGAAGAGTTATTATTACTACCTACACACACCTGGCCTTCACTACCCCGTACAAGAGGAGGGTCAGTGTTGTGAAGGAAGAGTTATTATACTACCTAACATACCTGGCTCCCTTCTACCCTGTACAAGAGGAGGGTCATGTTATGAAGGAAGAGTTATTACTACCTAACATACCTGGCTCCCTCACTACCCTGTACAAGAGGAGGGTCAGTGTTGTGAAGGAAGAGTTATTATTACTACCTAACATACACCTGGCTCCCTTCACTACCCTTGCAAGAGGAGGTCAGTGTTATGAAGGAAGAGTTAATTACTACCTAACATACACCTGGCTCCCTTCACTACCTGCTGAGGAGGGTCAGTATGAAGGAAGAGTTTACTACTAACATACACTGCTCCCTTCACTACCCTGTACAAGAGGTCAGTGTTATGAAGGAAGAGTTATTACTACCTAACATACACCTGCCTTCACTACCTGTACAAGAGGAGGTCAGTGTTATGAAGGAAGGTTTTTACTACCTAACACACCTGGCTCCCTCACTACCCGCAGCAAGAGAGGGTCAGTGTTGTGAAGGAAAGTTATTATTACTACTAACATACACCTGGCTCCCTCACTACCCTGTACAAGAGGAGGTCAGTGTTATGAAGGAAGAGTTATTATTACACCTAACATACACCTGGCTCCCTCACTACCCTGTACAAGAGGAGGGTCAGTGTTGTGAAGGAGTTATTTACTACCTAACATACACCTGGCTCCCTTCACTACCCCTGTACAAGGGAGGGTCAGTGTTATGAAGGAAGAGTTATTACTACCTAACATACACCTGGCTCCCTCACTACCCTGTACAAGAGGAGGTCAGTGTTGTGGAAGGTAGAGTTATTACTACCCTAACATACACCTGGCTCCCTTCTACACCCTGTACAAGAGGAGGGTCAGTGTTGTGAAGGAAAATTATTTTCCTACCTAACATACACCTGGCTCCCTTCACTACCCCTAAAGGAGGTCAGTGTTGTGAAGGAAGATTATTATTACTACCTAACATACACCTGGCCCTCACTACCCGCAGTCAAGAGGTCAGTGTTGTGAAGGAAGAGTTATTACTACCTAACATACACCTGGCTCCCTTCACTACCCCTGTACAGAGGAGGTCAGTGTTGTGAAGGAAGAGTTATTATTACTACCTAACATACAGCTCCCTTCACTACCCTGTACAAGGGAGGGTCAGTGTTGTGAAGGAAGTTAATTACTACCTAACATACACTGGCTCCCTTCTACCCCCATGCAAGAGGAGGGTCAGTGTTGTGAAGGAAGAGTTATTATTACTACCTAACATACACATGCCCTTCACTACCCTGTACAGAGGAGGGTCAGTGTTGTGAAGGAATATTATTACTACTATACACCCCTCACTACCTGTACAAGAGGAGGGTCAGTGTTATGAAGGAAGAGTTAATTACTACCTAACATACACCTGGCTCCCTTCACTACCCTGTACAAGAGGAGGTCAGTGTTATGAAGGAAGAGTTATTACTACCACATACACCTTCTTCACTGCACAGGGAGGGTCAGTGTTATGAGAAGAGTTATTATTACTACCTAACATACACTGGCTCCCTCACTACCCTGTACAGGAGGTCAGTGTTATGATGGAAGGATTATTATTACTACCTAACACACCTGGCTCCCCTCACTACCCCTAGCACAAGAGGAGGGTTCAGTGTTATGAAGGAAGAGTTATTATTACTACCTAACATACACCTGGCTCCCTTCACTACCCCAGCTGCAGAGGAGGGTCAGTGTTATGAAGGAAGAGTTATTATCTACCTAACATACACCTGGCTCCCTCACTACCCTGTACAAGAGGAGGTCAGTGTTATGAAGGAAGAGTTATTATTACTACCTAACATACACCTGGCTCCCTTCCTACCCTGCAAGAGGAGGGTCAGTGTTATGAAGGAAGAGTTATTATTACTACCTAACATACTGGCTCCCTTCACTACCCGCAGCACAGAGGAGGTCAGTGTTATGAAGGAAGAGTTATTATTACTACCTAACATACCTGGCTCCTTCACTACCCTGTACAAGAGGAGGTCAGTGTTATGAAGGAAGAGTTATTATTACTACCTAACATACACCTGGCTCCTACTACCCTGTACAAGAGGAGGTCAGTGTTATGAAGGAAGAGTTATTACCCTAACACATACACGCTCCCTTCACTACCCCTGTGCAAGAGAGGTCAGTGTTATGAAGGAAGAGTTTTTATACCTACCTAACATACACCTGGCTCCCCTCACTACCCTGTACAAGAGGAGGGTCAGTGTTATGAAGAGGTGTATTACACAACATACACCTTCTCACTACTGAGAGGAGGGTCAGTGTTGTGTAATAAGAGGAGGGTCAGTGGTTAAGTGAAGGAAGAGTTCACATTACTACCCAACATACACCTGGCTCCCTCTTCACTACCCTGCATAAGAGGAGGTGTTGTGAAGGAAGAGTTATTACTACCACATACACCTGGCTCTCACTACTCCTGTAAGAGGAGGGTCAGTGTTATGAAGGAAGAGTTATTATTACTACCTAACATACACCTGGCCCTCTTCACTACCCTGTATTAAAGAGGAGGGTCAGTGTTGCGAAGGAAGAGTTGTTACATTACCTAACATACACTCTGGCCTCTCACTACTCCTGTACAAGAGGAGGGTCAGTGTTATGAAGGAAGAGTTATTATTACTACCTAACACAGCACCCGGCCCCTTCACTACCCTGTACAAGAGGAGGGTCAGGTTGTGAAGGTAGAGTTATTATTACTACCTAACATACACCTGGCCCTTCACTACCCCTGTACAAGAGGAGGGTCAGTAAGGCATGAAGAGCACACACACCTAACATACACCTGGCTCCCTTTCACTACCCTGTACAAGAGGAGGGTCAGTGTTGTGTAGCTGAAGAGTTATTACTACCTAACATACACCTGGCTCCTCTCACTACTCCTGTACAAGAGGAGGGTCAGTGTTGTGAAGGAAGAGTTATTATTACTACCTAACATACACCTGGCCTCTCTACTCACCCTGTACAAGAGGAGGGTCAGTACAGAAGGAAGAGTTATTATTAATACCTAACATACACCTGGCCCCCTCACTACCCTGGGTGCCAAGAGGAGGGCTGGTGCTGTGAAGGAAGAGTTATTATTACTACCTAACATACACCTGGCTCTTCACGCACCCCAGCATGGAGGAGGGCTGCGTTGAAGGAAGAGCATTACTACCTAACATACACCTGGCTCCCTTCACTACTCCCAGCAAGAGGAGGGTCAGTGTTATGAAGGAAGAGTTATTATTACTACCTAATATACACCTGGCTCTCTACTACCCTGTATAAGAGGAGGTCAGTGTTGTATGAAGAGCGACATTACTACTCAACATACACCTGGCTCCCTCACTACCCTGTACACAAGAGGAGGGCTGTGCTGTGAAGGAAGAGTTATTATTACTACCCAACATACACCTGGCCTCTTCACTACTTCCTGTACAAGAGGAGGGTCAGTGTTATGAAGGAAGAGTATTATTACTACCTAACATACACTGGCTCCCCTTCACTACTCCTGTACAAGAGGAGGTCAGTATATGAAGAGCATATTACTACCTAACATACACTGGCTCTTCACTACCCCTGTACAAGCAGGAGAGGGCCAGTGTTATGAAGGAAGAGTTATTATTACTACCTAACATACACCTGCCTCACTACCTCCTGTACAAGAGGAGGGTCAGTGTTATGATGAAGAGTTACATTACTTACCTAACATACACCTGGCCCCTTCACTACTCCTCCTGTACAAGAGGAGGATCAGTGTTATGAAGGAAGAGTTATTATTACTACCCACATACACCTGGGCTCCCCTCACTACTCCTGCAGACAAGAGGAGGTCAGTGTTATGAAGGAAGAGTTATTATTACTACCTAACATACACCTGGCCTCCTCACTACCCTGTACAAGAGGAGGATCAGTGTTGTGAAGGTAGAGTTATTATTACTACCTAACATACACCTGGCCTCACTACTCCTGTACAAGAGGAGGGTCATGTTATGTGAAGGAAGAGTTATTATTACTACCTAATATACACCTGGTTCTCTTTCACTACCCTGTATTAAGAGGAGGGTCAGTGTTGTGAAGGAAGAGTTATTATTATCACTCTAACATACACCTTGCCTTCACACACTCCTGCATAAGAGGAGGGTCAGTGTTATGAAGGAAGAGTTATTATTACTACTCAACATACACCTGGCTCCTCACTACTCCTGTACAAGAGGAGGTCAGGTACAGAAGGAAGAGTTATTATTACTACCCAATATACACCTGCCCTTCACTACTCCTGTACAAGAGAGGAGGGCCAATAGTGTTATGAAGGAAGAGCATATTACTACCTAAACATACTGGCTCTCTACTACCCTCTGTATAAGAGGAGGGGTTGTGTACAGAAGGTAGAGCATATTACATACCTAACATACACCTGGCTCCCTTTCACTACCTGTACAAGAGGAGGGTCAGTGTTATGAAGGAAGAAGACATTACTACCTAACATATACCTGGCTCCCCTCAATACCCTGTGCATAAGAGGAGGGCTGTGTTATGAAGGAAGAGTATACATATTTCACTACCCTGTACAAGAGGAGGGCTGGGTGTTGTATGAAGAGTTATTATTACTACTCAACATACACCTGGCCTCACTACCCTGTACAAGAGGAGGCTGGTGTTATGAAGGAAGAGTTATTATTACTACCTAACATACACCTGGCCCTTCACTACCTCCTAGGCTAAGAGGAGGCTGTGTTGTGAAGGAAGAGTTATTATTACTACCTAACATACACCTGGCTCCCCCTCACTACTCCTGTACAAGAGGAGGGTCTGGTGTTATGAAGGAAGAGTTATTATTACTACCTAACATACACCTGGCTCCCTTTCACTTACTCCTGTACAGAGAGGACTAGTGTTATGAAGGAAGAGCGTTTATTACTACCTAACATACACCTGGGCTCTCACTGTTCCTGTAGGTTACAGGATAATAGTGTTATGAAGGAAGAGCATATTACTACCTAACATACACCTGGCTCTCTTCACTACTCCTGTAATAAGAGGAGGGTATATACAGAGTTATTATTACTACCTAACATACACCTGGCTCCCCCTTCTACTACTCCTGTACAAGAGGAGGGTCAGTGTTGTGAAGGAAGAGTTATTATTACTACTCTAACATACACCTGGCTCCTTCATCACTCCTGCAGCCAAGAGGAGGGCTGAGGCTATGAAGGAAGAGCATATTACTACCTAACATACACCTGGCTCCCCCTCACTACCCTGTATTAAGAGGAGGGTCAGTGTTGCATGAAGAGTTATTATTACTACCTAATATACACCTGGCTCCCTTCACTACTCCTGTACAAGAGGATACTAGTGCGAAGGAAGAGTTATTATTACTACTTCCAACATACACCTGGCCCCTTCACTACCCCACAAGAGGTGAGGGTCAGTGTTGTGAAGGAAGAGTTATTATTACTACCCAACATAAGCACCTGGCTCCCTTCACTACTCCTGTACAAGAGGAGGGTCAAAAGCAGTGAAGGAAGAGCTATTATTACTACCTAACATACACTCCGGCTCCTCTACTACTCCTGTATAAGAGGAGGGTCAGTGTTATGAAGGAAGAGTTATTATTACTACCTAACATACACCTGGCTCCCTTCACTACCCTGTACAAGGAGGAGGGTCAGTAAGGTGAAGGAAGAGCATACATTACCTAACATACACTCTGCCTCACTACCTCCTGTATTAAGAGGAGGGTCAGTGTTATGAAGGAAGAGTTATTATTACTACCTAACATACACCTGGCCCTCACCACTTGCACAAGAGGGTGTCAGCGCCAGGAAGGAAGAGTTATTATTACTACCTAACATACACCTGGCTCCTCTTCTACTACTCCTGTATTAAGAGGGTCAGTGTTATGGGAATAGAAGAGTTATTATTACTACCTAACACACACCTGGCCCTTCACTACTCCTTGCACAAGAGGAGGGAATAAAGGTGAAGGAAGAGTTACACACACCTAACATACACCTGGCCTCTTCACTACTCCTGTACAAGAGGAGGCAGAAGGAAGAGTTATTATTACTACCTAACATACACCTGGCTCCCCTCTACTACCTCCTGTACAAGAGGAGGGTCAGTGTTATGAAGGAAGAGTTATTATTACTACCTAAATATACACCTGGCCTCTTCACTACCCTGGCAAGAGGAGGGTCAGTGTTATGAAGGAAGAGTTATTACTACCTAACATACACCTGGCTCCCTCACTACTCCTGTACAAGAGGAGGGTCAGTGCTATGAAGGAAGAGCATATTACTACCTAACATACACCTGGCTCTCTTCACTACCTCTGTATGCAGGAGGGCTCAGTGTTGAAGGAAGAGTTATTATTACTACCTAACATACACCTGGCTCCCTCACTACTCCTGTACAAGAGGAGGGTCAGGCAGGAAGGAAGAGTTACATTACTACCTAACATACACTCTGGCTCTCACTACCCTGTACAAGAGGAGGTCAGTAAGCAGAAGGAAGAGTATATATTACCTAACATACACTCTGCCCCTTCACTACCCTGTACAAGAGGAGGGTCAGTGTTATGAAGGAAGAGTTATTATTAGCCACTCAACATACACCTGGCTCCCTTTCACTACCCTGTATTAAGAGGAGGGTCAGTGTTATGAAGGAAGAGCATACTACCTAACATACACCTGGCTCCCTTCACTACCTCCTGTACAAGAGGAGGCCAGTGTTATGAAGGAAAGAGTTATTATTACTACCTAACATACACCTGGTCTCCCTTCACTACTCCCTGGTACAAGAGGAGGGCTGGGGTGTTATGAAGGAAGAGTTATTATTACTACTAACATACACCTGGTCTCTCTTCACTACTCCTGGTACAAGAGGAGGGTCAGTGTTATGAAGGAAGAGCATATTATCATCAACATAGTTGGAAAGCACCTGGCCCTTTCACTACTCCTGTACAAGAGGAGGGTCAGTGTTATGAAGGAAGAGTTATTACACACCTAACATACACCTGGCTCCTCTCTACTACTCCCTGCACAAGAGGAGGGTCAGTGTTATGAAGGAAGAGTTATTAATACCTTAACATACACCTGGCCCTCACTACCCTGTACAAGAGGAGGTCAAAGTGTTATGAAGGAAGAGCATATTACCACCTACTGCCACACCTGGCTCCTTCACTACCCTGTACAAGAGGAGGTCAGTGCTATGAAGCGAAGAGTTATTATTACTACCTAACATACACCTGGCCTCTTCACTACTCTGCACAGAGGAGGGTCATGTTATGAAGGAAGAGTTATTAATACCCACATACACCTGGCTCTCTCTTTACTACCTCCTGTACAAGAGGAGGGTCAGTGTTATGAAGGAAGAGTTATTACTACCTAACATACACCTGGCTCCTCACTACTCCTGTATAAGAGGAGGGCTGTGTTATGAAGGAAGAGTTATTATTACTACCTAACATACACCTGGCTCCCCTTCACTACTCCCAGCAAGAGGAGGGTCAGTGTTATGAAGGTAGAGTTATTATTAATACCCAACATACACCTGGCTCCCTTCACTACCTCCTGTACAAGGAGGGTCAAAGTTGTGAAGGAAGAGTTATTATTACTACCTAACATACACTCTGGCTCTCTACTACCCTGTACAAGAGGAGGTCAGTGTTATGAAGTGAAGAGTTATTATTACTACTAACATACACCTGGCTCCCCTTTCACTATCCTGTACAAGAGGAGGGTAATAAAGTTGTGATGAAGAGTTATTATTACTACCTAACATACACCTGGCTCTCTACTACCCTGTACAAGAGGAGGGTCAGTATGAAGGAAGAGTTATTATTACTACCTAACATACACCTGGCTCCCTTCACTACCCTGTACAAGAGGAGGGTCAGTGTTGTGAAGGAAGAGTTATTATTACTACCTAACATACACCTGGCTCCCTTCACTACCCTGTACAAGAGGAGGGTCAGTGTTATGAAGGAAGAGTTGTTATTACTACCTAACATACACCTGGCTCCCTTCACTACTCACCACAGCTCTGTGTAGTCCTGAAGGCCCCGCTTGGTGTGCCTGTTGGAACATGTGGTGTGCGAGGTTTTCTTCTACGGACAAGAAGTGGGAGAACTCTCCCCCCGCAGAGGCCTCGTTCATCGGGTCTCCGCGTATCTCCGTTATTTCACTTTTTAATCCTCCGTTATCTATATCTTCATTTATTTCGCAATGTTCTGTTTTGATTTCTGGGGCAGTTTGTGTATACACTTGTTGGTCCTGTGGCTCGTGCTGTAGCCTGGCCTCCTGTTGGGTGCGGGGGTCGTGGTGCAGGCGAGCCTCGTGCAGCCTCCCGGACGGCTCCGTCTCCTGCTGGAGGTGGAGGCCGTCCGCGCGCTGGACGGCCTCGTGGACGGCCGGGTGAGGGGACTCGTCGTCGGCCTGGGGCACTGCGCACTTGCCGCAGCCGGCCTCGTCCTCCCCGTCCCCCTGCACGACCTCCGGCCCGTGGAGGGCGTACTGCGCCGCGTCGTCGGCCGGCGCACCGTGAGGCGTCCTGTCCTGCGCCGAGTGAGACCTCGTCCCTCCTCTGTCGCTCTCTCTCGTCTCCCTCTCCTGTCTGCGGCGCTTGGCCGGCCGCTCTCCCCCGGTCGGCGGCTCGACCCTCGCGAGTTGCGCGGGGTCCTCGTCCGGGACGGCGAGACCCTTGATCCTGAGACACTCGGCGGCCTTTATGAGGCCGGGCAAGTCGGCCTGCTGCACGTCCACCTCCCCCAGGTACATGTAGTCCAACAGGGCCTCCAGCTCATGACTCTTGATGTCCTTCAACACAATGACCGGCTTCTGGCACTGTGTGTGGTCAAACACCTCACTGAAGAAGTCACTACACGCCATCAACACCAGACGGTGAACGGCGAAGAACTTGGACCCACACGCCAGAGTTACATCTGTATAACAACCCTGAAACAACAACAATGACGATCAAAAACACAACACTGTATAACTAGACATTGTTAATAACATTTTTTTGAGAGATTTAACAACATAAACTAATCCAGCTTAACCTAACCCCCCCCCCCCCAAGGTACATTAAGTTAGCTTAGTTCAGATAGGTTTAAGTCATGTTAAATTAGTTTATTTTAGGTTAAGTTCTTTAAGTTCATTTTACATTAAGTTAGGTTAAAGCTAATTTAGGTTACATTAAGTTTAAGTTAGTTTAGTCAATCTTATTAAACTAGGGTGACCAACACACAGGTTAGGTTATGCAGTGTGGCTCACCTTCTCCCTCAACACTCGAAGAAGATGAAAGAATGCCGGCTTGTGATTATTCCACTTGAGAGATAGCAGATCCTCACCCATCCTGCCACCACAGTCCACAACCTGAACCATAATAACAACTTTAAAACATGATCTTATATCCTGCCACCCAAAACATGTAACGTGTATAGAATCAATGTTTAGTTAAGTGATGTACCGTATCATGTTGTGTATATTGATGCAGTATGATGAAGTGATGTACCGTATCATGTTGTGTATATTGATGCAGTATGATGAAGTGATGTACCGTATCATGTTGTGTATATTGATGCAGTATGATGAAGTGATGTACCGTATCATGTTGTATATATTGATGCAGTATGATGAAGTGATGTACCGTATCATGTTGTATATATTGATGCAGTATGATGAAGTGATGATGCGTATCATGTTGTGTATATTGATGCAGTATGATGAAGTGATGTACCGTATCATGTTGTGTATATTGATGCAGTATGATGAAGTGATGTACCGTATCATGTTGTGTATATTGATGCAGTATGATGAAGTGATGTACCGTATCATGTTGTATATATTGATGCAGTATGATGAAGTGATGTACCGTATCATGTTGTATATATTGATGCAGTATGATGACAGCAACACTGTAACACCGACCAAAATAATCCCACACATACTCCATCAGCCGTAACAACTGGTGCGCACCACTTACAGGTGTATGTATATTCTGGGTAACAAGACAATTCTCTCTCAACCACAAAAAATGCTCCCCCCATCCCCGGAATTTTCTGGCTATCGGGAACATTTTCTCGTAATTCTCCGGTAAATGAGCCCCTCGGAAAATCGTTCCCAGAGGTGAATTTTTCCGGGAAATTCCTATTTGGGAAAAATTTTCCGAGAAAATTTCAATTCTGGCCATCGGAGAGTTCCGGGTTTGAGGGATTCCAGTTTAAGGAGATATTGCTGTATTTATAATAATACAAGTTATAGCTGGCCACCAGATGTTGTAATGTTTACTGGTCTACATAAATGGTGTCCAGAACAATGATAAAACTAATGCATAAAATAAACATAAGTAACAACACTGATAAGGAACATTAATACAACTTCTCCCCGACTCACGATGGGGTTGGGGACCCAAATCCAGGTCCTAAGTAAAAAATGCTAAAATAATACGTAAAAAATCTAAAATGGGCGTCTCTTTTTCTTCTCAGCACCACAGAACTCTCACTTTTAAGCTTGCCAGCCATTTTAAAAAGAATTACAAACGAAAATTTTGTCTGTACACAGCTCGATCACTGACGCTGGGGCTCGAAAATAACTAATTTGAAAAATTTTTGTTAGGACCGAGGCAGTTGTATGTGCGGGTGGTCGTAGGTAAAATAATGTAGTACAGTTGTCAGCAGCCACAGATTGTTCTTCCTCTAATACACTCACAGCTTCACACAGTAAACATCTCTCAATACGCTACCAATAATAATCTGCCACAACAATGACAAATTTTATTCTTTAATCTTCAAAAATTTTATAATTTTCTTTCAGTGAGCAGAATGCAGGCATCTCTGTCAGTGGCCTTAAAAGAGTGTCTGTTGTGTAAACACAACCTCTACAACCTGTTACATATAAACAAACTCACTATCAATTTAATCATCAACAAAGCTGTACGCTTCCGAGGGGCTGTCTCTTGTAAATCAAGAGACCCATTCCCCAATTATGTAACTATATTTTCAGCCTTCCGGCTGCCATGCTCTTTCAATAAACCATTAATTGTTATTATTATTATTACACATAAGTGAATATTAAAGCATATTTTTAATTTTTCCACAAATAAAATGCCGAATATGGACGGATTCCTACCTAATGGAGAACATTAGAACATTCGAAAATAAGGAGTCTGCAATAGGCCGGTTGGCCTGTGCATGGCAGCTCCTGTCGAGAATTACTACCACTCTCTATCATCCATGAATCTATCTAGCCTCCTTTTGAAACTTTCCAGAGTTCCAGCACTTACTACAAAGTTGCTAAGCTTGTTCCACTCGTCCACCACCCTATTTGTGAACCAGTTTCTTCCTATCTCCCTCCTAAATCTAAACTTATCCAACTTAAATCCGTTGCTCCGAGTCCTATCCTGCTTGGTTCACAAATAGGGTGGTGGACGAGTGGAACAAGCTTAGCAACTTTGTAGTAAGTGCCGGAACGCTGGAAAGTTTCAAAAGGAGGCTAGATAGATTCATGGATGATAGAGCGGTCCGACTAATTACCCAAATGTACCCAAATGTAGCCGCAATGAAGTCAAATAATGGTCCTACATGAATAAATCGGACTGCTAATCACTTCTCAACTAGTATTTGGTGTCAGAAAGTCACAAAAAATTGGAAAACTTACTTTAATCTGAGTTGTGTTGTGCTGCGTTAGGTTAGGTTAGGTACATGCACTTTAGGGGGCAGTGAAATTTTGCTCAAAGCTGCACTCTTCAGGCATTGTTCCTTATACATATCTAAGACTCCATGCCAAATTTGAAGCTGATATGTCGAGGTTTAGTCTGCCGCATTTTCTACTGAAATTTTTAAATTTACCTACAGTACTAGCCAAACAGACGCTGTGGCGGTGCAATGTTCTGTTCAGTGTTTATCAACTTTTTTTTCATATCTCTTATTTCATTTAAGTTGTCTTGTTGCAGATGAGTATGGTGCTATGTCTATATTGATTATCAGCCTTTTCTCATTTCATTTCTCAATGTTGTGTTACTGTACTGTAATGTAGGGGAGACCTGGGTAAGTTGGCGCACTTGAAATTATTCAAATAGTTACCGTTAAGCAGATTGCCAAAACTATTCACGAGTTTCTGGTGGAGAAAAATCTAACCCAGCAGCCCATTGTGTGTGTTGGTTGTGATGGAACCAATGTAAATGTAGGATCAGAAAATGGAGTCATTCATCATCTTGAAATGTTACTTGGTCACCCGCTCCATTATTTCATATGTCAGCTTCACGGAAATGAGCTGCCTTTCCGCGCAGTTTTTTATCACTATGATGGTAAACCAAGTGGTCCTGAGCATTGGCGTGGTCCCATTGGAAAGCAGATCAAGGAGTCTTTGTCTGAGCTTCCAGTTGTCGCCTTCCAGCCAGTCAGTTTCCCTGATTTCCCTGTGTTTAATGATGAAGTGGAGAAAGATCTGTCCTGGGATCAGAAATACCTGTATAGGATTTGTAAAGGAGTTATCACAGGTGTTGTTGAAGATGACTTGGCTGCTATTGAGCCAGGTCCTCCCTGTGTGTCAAGGTGGAACACCTTATGGAGTAGAATCCTCAGGCTGTATGTAGCAACATCAAGACCCAGCCATGAGTTGAAAAGAATTGTCATTACAATAATAAAGTTCAGTGCTCCAATGTGGTTTTACATCAAGATACACCCTTACGTAACACACGGCTCAAGGAACGTATTCCAGTCCCTGCTATATATGAAACACCTGAATAGTGAGGAGGAGACGATAGTGAAGAAGGCTGTCCAGAGAAATGCATACTTCGCCCACACAGATCAACTTCTTCTTGGTATGTGTGCAGATGAGGACATGACTGTTAGAGAAAAAGCTGTCTCAATGATAAGAAAAATTAGAGAGGAGAATCAGCAAAAGGAAGAATGCACTGGCAGATCTGAAGAGGAGGAGGAAGATTCTGATGCTGCTGTTGACGAGAATTTGTTAAACTATACTGATGAGGAGGGTAAAGATGGAGATGGGAATGAGGATGTGCCTCCTGTAGTCAACATGAGAAAGGTGGTGACTCCGAAACTAAAGTGGCAAGCAAAAAACTATCATTCCATGATTAACTGGAGGAATGAACTCAAGACTGAGCCTCCTTACATTGCTTCTCTGTCAAATCTACAGGTTAATGACATTCTTGAGACACCATTAGTGGTGCCCAAGTGGCCAAACAGCACTCAGGCGGTCGAGAGAGGCATAAAAGTGATGACTGAAGCTTGCACTGAAGTGACGGGATACGAATCGAGAGATGGATATATTAGGCAAAGATTATTGTCTAGGAAAATGATGCCAAGGTTCCGCACAAAAAAGAATTTCAATATGAACTTGTAATGATTTTCTATACGGTGTACCTGTAAAATAACATGTGAATTAAATCGATGTCACCCATGTAAAATTTATCATTATCCTGGAAAACATTAAATGACACCTAATTTTTGGTATACACTAAAAGTTGACAAAAAGTCGTTCGCGATGCGGCAGGGTAAGTATGCATGAAATTTTGCACAGGTGTTTGTTACAGCCATACAAACGATGCCTGAAAAGTGCAGCCTGCAACTCAAATAAAAGTGTTTTTTCCCTGCCCCCTAATGCACTTGATCTATTAACTCAGATTAAATTAAGTTTACCAATTTTTTGTGACTTTCTGACACCAAATACTAGTCGAGAAGTGATTGGCAGTCCGATTTATTCATCTAGGACCATTAAGCCAAGTAAACAATGTGTTTTTGCTCGTAACAAGACTAATAAAGTACTTGGGTTCATACAAAGGAGTGTTAGTTACAAGACTAGCGAGGTCATCCTAAAACTGTATCTTGCTCTTGTGAGACCACACCTGGATTACGCAGTTCAGTTCTGGTGACCGTATTACAGAATGGATATAGAATCCGTGGAAAGAATTCAGAGGAGAATGACAAGACTAATCCCGGGCATTAGGAACCTTGAGTATAGAGACAGGTTAAAGCATCTTAATTTGCACTCCCTTGAGAGACGTAGAGCGAGGGGCGACCTGATAGAGGTGTATAAGTGGAAGGCAGGGCTAAACAAAAGGGACATTACAAAGGTACTCAAACTATCCAACCAGGAGCGAACTCGTAACAATGGTTTTAAATTAGACAAATTTAGATTTAGGCGTGAAATAGGTAAACACTGGTTTGGAAACAGAGTAGTGGACGAGTGGAACAAGTTACCAAATATCATCATTAACTCGAATACGTTGAATAGCTTCAAACATAGGTTGGATGCTTATAAGAGCAATAGGGGTTGGGTGTAAACGGGACTGCCCAGTATGGACCAATAGGCCCACTGCAGTTTCCTCCATTCTTATGATGTACATACATACATACGAGGAAATTAAAAAATAATGGTGTTTCACCTCAAATATTGACATATTCCTACCTAATCCAGCAGAATAGAGCCAGGTAGAGCCAGGCAGAGCCAGGTAGAGCCAGGCAGAGCCAGGTAGAGCCAGGCAGAGCCAGGTAGAGCCAGGCAGAGCCAGCTACACCTTAGTCAGTACACAGATACACCAAGAGAGGAAATTAAAAGTATAAGTGGTGCTTTTTCTCAAATAATACAACACTTATTCAGAGTTTCACCTTGAGCGCTGACACAGCCAAGTCAGCACCAGACACTCATGCGGGCATCATCGACCTCTTGCTACCCGCATAACCTCCAATAACCTCTACCTCCCCCTAACTACAACCTACTAACAACCAACAACAACACCATAGGGATAAACAACCCCATAATAACCTCAAATCCTCCCCATAAATCAGGTAAAAACAATAAAAACAGGAATAATATAAAATCACCTCCCTCCAGGATTTCAGGGAGAATGGATGCTAATGTTATTTATCGCCACTAACCCTTATTTAACATCGTCTTCTGGTATTTTATCATAGGTATTAACATGTATACTTACCTAAGAATATGATGGGTGGTTATTCATGGGCCGGTGTCACAGTTTAAGGCGAGAAAAGGGAATTAGTCACCGTAAACCCAAACAATTTCTCTCAGCGTCGGCAAGGGAATACATATACCTGTCTCAATCCCTCAATCTCATATAAAATAAATACAAATTATTATCAATTTTCACAATGTTATCAATCATTAACATCAATTTAAAGTAATATATTAAATTTAATATTAATATATTAATTATTATATATGAAGTAATTAATTTTATAATGTTTTTTTTAATTGTTTATAAGGAAGACGAAGTTAGAGTCAGAGATCAGAACATTAGCGTGTTGGGTGAGAGACACCTGGCGGCGACAGGCGGAACTAAGGCCATAAGCACCCGCCATTTTTAAAAATTAGATCAACTTTTACTTTTATTTTTTACGACTGATGGACACTTTAGGGCGGCCCCTCACCTCCCTGTTACACACTGGTGGTAAGTACTGGGTCTCTGTTACACTGGTGGTAAGTACTGGCTCTCTGTTACACACTGGTGGTAAGTACTGGCTCTCTGTTACACTGGTGGTAAGTACTGGGTCTCTGTTACACTGGTGGTAAGTACTGGGTCCCTGTTACACTGGTGGTAAGTACTGGGTCTCTTACACTGGTGGTAAGTACTGGATCTCTGTTTACTGGTGGTAGTACTGGGTCTCTGTTACACTGGTGGTAAGTACTGGGTCTCTGTTACACTGGTGGTAAGTACTGGGTCTCTGTTACACTGGTGGTAAGTACTGGGTCTCTGTTACACTGGTGTGAAGTACTGGGTCTCTGTACACTGGTGGTAAGTACTGGGTCTCTGTTACACTGGTGGTAGTATGGGTCTCTGTTAAACTGGTGGTAAGTACTGGGTCTCTGTTACACTGGTGGTAAGTACTGGGTCTCTGTTAAGCTGGTGGTAAGTACTGGGTCTCTGTTACACTGGTGGTAAGTACTGGGTCCCTGTTACACTGGTGGTAAGTACTGGGTCTCTGTTACACTGGTGGTAAGTACTGGGTCTCTGTTACACTGGTGGTAAGTACTGGGTCCCTGTTACACTGGTGGTAAGTACTGGGTCTCTGTTACACTGGTGGTAAGTACTGGCTCTCTGTTACACTGGTGGTAAGTACTGGCTCTCTGTTACACTGGTGGTAAGTACTGGGTCTCTGTTACACTGGTGGTAAGTACTGGCTCTCTCTGTTACACTGGTGGTAAGTACTGGGTCTCTGTTACACTGGTGGTAAGTACTGGGTCCCTGTTACACTGGTGGTAAGTACTGGGTCTCTGTTACACTGGTGGTAAGTACTGGCTCTCTGTTACACTGGTGGTAAGTACTGGCTCTCTGTTACACTGGTGGTAAGTACTGGGTCTCTGTTACACTGGTGGTAAGTACTGGGTCCCTGTTACACTGGTGGTAAGTACTGGGTCTCTGTTACACTGGTGGTAAGTACTGGGTCTCTGTTACACTGGTGGTAAGTACTGGGTCCCTGTTACACTGGTGGTAAGTACTGGGTCCCTGTTACACTGGTGGTAAGTACTGGGTCTCTGTTACACTGGTGGTAAGTACTGGGTCCCTGTTACACTGGTGGTAAGTACTGGGTCTCTGTTACACACTGGTGGTAAGTACTGGGTCTCTGTTACACACTGGTGGTAAGTACTGGGTCTCTGTTACACTGGTGGTAAGTACTGGGTCTCTGTTACACTGGTGGTAAGTACTGGGTCTCTGTTACACACTGGTGGTAAGTACTGGGTCTCTGTTACACTGGTGGTAAGTACTGGGTCCCTGTTACACTGCTGGTAAGTACTGGGTCCCTGTTACACCGGTGGTAAGTACTGGCTCTGTTGCCACACACTGGTGGTAAGTACTGGCCCTGTTAACCTGTTACACTGGTGGTAAGTATCGGGCTCTCTGTTACACACTGGTGGTGGGTACTGGGTCCCTGTTACACTGTTGGTACTGGGTCCCTGTTACACTGGTGGTAAGTACTGGGTCCCTGTTACACTGGTGGTAAGTACTGGCTCTCTGTTACACACTGGTGGTAAGTACTGGGTCCCTGTTACACTGCTGGTAAGTACTGGCCCCTTGTTACACTGGTGGTAAGTACTGGCCCTGTTACACTGGTGGTAAGTACTGGTCTCTGTTACACACTGGTAAGTACTGTCTCTGTTACACTGGTGGTAAGTACTGGTCCCTGTTACACTGGTGGTAAGTACTGGCTCTCTGTTACACACTGGTGGTAAGTACTGGTCCCTGTTACACTGCTGGTAAGTACTGGGTCTCTGTTACACACTGGTGGTAAGTACTGGGTCCCTGTTACACTGGTGGTAAGCATTGGCTCTCTGTTACACACTGGTGGTAAGTACTGGGTCCCTGTTAATTGCTGGTAAGTACTAGTCCCTGTTACACTGGTGGTAAGTACTGGGTCTCTGTTACACACTGGTGGTAAGTACTGGGTCTCTGTTACACTGGTGGTAAGTACTGGCTCTCTGTTACACTGGTGGTAAGTACTGCCTCTGTTACACTGGTGGTAAGTACTGGGTCTCTCATTACACTGGTGGTAAGTACTGGGTCCCTGTTACACTGGTGGTAAGTACTGGCTCTTCTGTTACACTGGTGGTAAGTACTGGGTCCCTGTTACACTGCTGTAAGTACTTGGCCCTGTTACACACTGGTGTATACTGGGTCCCTGTTAATTGGTGGTAAGTAATTGGCTCTCTGTTACACACTGGTGGTAAGTACTGGGTCCCTGTTACACTGCTGGTAAGTACTGGGTCCCTGTTACACTGGTGGTAAGTACTGGGTCTCTCGTTACACACTGGTGGTAAGTAACTGGCCCTGTTAATTGGTGGTAAGTACTGGCTCTCTGTTACACTGGTAGGTACTGCCTTCTGTTACACTGGTGGTAAGTACTGGCTCTCTGTTACACACTGGTGGTAAGTACTGGGTCTCTGTTACACTGGTGGTAAGTGTCTGGGGTCCCTGTTACACTGGTGGTAAGTACTGGCTCTCTGTTGTTACACCTGGTGGTAAGTACTGGCTCTCTGTTACACTGGTGGTAAGTACTGGCTCTCTGTTACACTGGTGGTAAGTACTGGCCTTCTGTTACACTGGTGGTACTGGCCTTCTGTTACACTGGTGGTAAGTAGTGGCTCCTTGTTACACACTGGTGGTAAGTACTGGGTCTTGTTACACTGGTAAGTACTGGCTTCTGTTACACCATTGGTGGTAAGTACTGGCTCTTCTGTTGCCTTGCGGTGGGTACTGGGTCTGTTACACTGGTGGTAAGTATCATTTCTGTTACACTGGTGGTAAGTACTGTCTCTGTTAATTGGTAAGTACTGGGTCTCTGTTACACTGGTGGTAAGTACTGGCCTTCTGTTACACTGGTAAGTATCAGTCTCTGTTACACTGGTGGTAAGTACTGTCTCTGTTACACACTGGTGGTAAGTACTGGGTCTGTGACTGTGGGTAAGTACTGGGTCTCTGTTACACTGGTGGTAAGTACTGGGTCCCTGTTACACTGGTGGTAAGTACTGGCTCTCTGTTACACACTGGTGGTAAGTACTGGCCCTGTTACACTGGTGGTAAGTACTGGCTCTGTTACACTGGTGGTAAGTACTGGCCTTCTGTTACACTGGTGGTAAGTACTGTCTTGTTACACTGGTGGTAAGTACTGGCTCTCTGTTACACTGGTGGTAAGTACTGGCCCTGTTACACTGGTGGGCATTGGTCTTGTTACACTGGTGGTAAGTACTGGCTCTCTGTTACACTCATTGGTGGTGTAAGTACTGGCCCTGTTACACTGGTGGTAAGTACTGGGTCTCTGTTACACACTGGTGGTAAGTACTGGGTCTCTGTTACATTGGTGGTAAGTACTGGCTCTCTGTTACACTGGTGGTAAGTACTGGCTCTCTGTTACACACTGGTGGTAAGTACTGGCCCTGTTACACTGGTGGTAAGTACTGGGTCTCTGTTAACACTGGTGGTAAGTATCAGCTCTCTGTTACACTGGTGGTAAGTACTGGGTCTCTGTTACACTGGTGGTAAGTACTGGGTCTCTGTTGCACACTGGTGGTGTAAGTACTGGCCTCTGTTACACTGGTGGTAAGTACTGGGTCTCTTGCTACACTGGTGGTAAGTACTGGGTCTCTGTTACACACTGGTGGTAAGTACTGGCTCTGTTACACACTGGTGGTAAGTACTGGGTCTCTGTTGACTGGTGGTAAGTACTGGGTCTCTGTTACACACTGGTGGTAAGTACTGGCTCTCATTACACTGGTGGTAAGTACTGCCTTCTGTTACACTGGTGGTAAAGTACTGGCCCCTGTTACACTGGTGGTAAGTACTGTTTCTGTTACACTGGTGGTAAGTACTGGGTCTCTGTTACACTGGTGGTAAGTACTGGCCCTGTTACACTGGTGGTAAGTACTGGCTCTGTTACACTGTAAGTACTGGGTCTCTGTTACACTGGTGGTAAGTACTGCCCTGTTACACACTGGTGGTAAGTACTGGGTCTCTGTTACACTGGTGGTAAGTACTGGCCTCTCTGTTACACTGGTAAGTACTGGCCTCTGTTACACACTGGTGGTAAGTATTGGGTCTCTGTTACACTGGTGGTAAGTACTGGGTCTTGTTACACTGGTGGTGGGGCATTGGCTCTCTGTTACACTGGTAGGCATGGGTCTCTGTTACACTGGTGGGTAAGTACTGGTCTCTGTTACACACTGGTGGTAAGTACTGGCTCTCTTGTTACACTGGTGGTAAGTACTGGTCTCTGTTACATTGGTGGGGGTACTGGGTCTCTGTTACACACTGGTGGTAAGTACTGGCTCTCTGTTACACACTGGTGGTAAGTACTGGGTCTCTGTTACACTGGTGGTAAGTACTGGGTCTCTGTTACACACTGGTGGTAAGTACTGGCTCTCTGTTACACTGGTGGTAAGTACTGGGTCTCTGTTACACTGGTAAGTACTGGGTCTCTGTTACACACTGGTGGTAAGTACTGGCTCTCTGTTACACTGGTGGTAAGTACTGGGTCTCTGTTACACTGGTGGTAAGTACTGGGGTCTCTGTTACACTGGTGGTAAGTACTG